CCCCTCGCAGGGAGGCCTTGGGGTGGTCCCGGTGTGGGGAAAGGCTGGGGCGGGGGGGGGCGGATTTCTGGGTGCAGGACCGCGGAGGTAGCGAGAGGTTAAGAAGAAACGGGGATATGATTGGTAAACAAATTGTGCAGAATGGAGCGGGATTCATATTGACTTAGTTATAGGTCATCTGCTGCCGGTGCAAAGGGAGGAAATATTTACTTTACACATATACTTTATGATCTTGGGGGAATTAGAGGAAATTCAATAAGAAAACGGCTAGAATCATTTTAAACCCCCTATTTAAAAGACTTAAGCAAATTAGAGTCTTATCAGATTAAAATCCACTACAAATGTAAGAGCATTGTCTCCGTCGAAACGCTGTGGGGTCTGAGGAAAGAGATTCTTTGCCAAATCTCAGGGATAAAAACACGTCATTTAAACACCAGATAATGAGCAGAATGTAAATTAATTTAACCTTCTTTACTAACAGGCTGCGAAAGTAATATGTATAATTTAGCGATAAGTAAGATTGCGAGGGATGATACGTACCTCGAACGAGCATCAGCGACTAAGACGGACCCTTGCGGGGGGGGGGGGGGGGGGAAGCAACGGGATACAGAGGAGTTTGGGCGCTGGGATGCGGGTGTGGAGGGCCACACCAAGGGGAAGCTTTCGGTAACTTTTCGATGCCCGTGACCGTGCAGAGGACTTGAAGATAGAGGCGCAACCTGCATTTTCCGCGCCTGGGCTCCCCGTCCCTAACAGGGCCGCAGCGCCCCGGGGGCAGCGCCGGCTGGGCGGCGACAGGGCTCGGGGACGGGCCCCTCTGCCCCGGGAGACCCCGACCCACACGGGAGGGCAACCTGCCCCCGCCTGGGACCCGCTGGAAACAGCCCCGCTCCTCCTGCGAGGCCCGGCTCCGCAGCAGCCTCGCCCCGCGCTATAAGCGGGCGGGTGAGCGGGGACCGCTGCTGCCCGGGGGCGAGGGGTCAAATCCTGCCCCCCCAAGCCCCGGAGGGGGGGCGGTCGTGTGCGAGCGCCGGCCCGGTGCGGGGCTTGGCCACGCTCTGCGAGCGG